AGGCGACTGTGGCATTGATGCCTACACAGTCAGATAGATTGCAGATTGGAGTCAAGGGTACCAGCAGAGCCAGGGGGCTGTAGCTTGGGAGTGAGGGGCAATGGCATGGGCAGGGCACCAGCATTATCAGGGCTGCTCAGCACCAGAGCAGGAAGGGGGGGAAGCCACAACTGGACCTACATCCTGGTGAGCAAAGAGAGCTCTGATTTTCCATGATATAAAAACAAGATCAAACACCAAAATATGTAAGTATTTAGAATTTTATTATAATGATTGAGGCACTGGTAGGCTTCCAAATTGCTTTAAAATTGTAAATATATCAATAAAATATTGTGTTCAACTGATACCTATATATATAGTGGTGCTTCATGTCAACCATGGAAAAATGCAGACTTTGGGGGTTTTAATAAGAGAATTCGCTATTTTTTTTATCAGAGAATGTGCGATTTTTAAACAGAGAAAACCAGGGTCCTTGCTGATCACGTCACTTACCTCCAGGTGATTTGCAGTATTCCACAGGTTCTCTTTTAGGTGCTTCAAAATAGTTTTCTTGAGGCCCTGCTCTATTTTTCCAAATGTCAAGGTCAGACTCACAGGTCTGCAATTCCTCAGATCCTCCTTCTTCCCTTTCTTAAAGATGGGTACTATATTTGGCCCTTTTCCAATTATCCACCTCAGCAGATTTCCAGTTCTACGAAAATATAGCCAATGGCACCGAAATTACCTCAGCCAATTCCTTCATTACCCTAGGGCAGCGGTTCCTAATCTGTGGTAAGCGTACCAGCGGTGGTGCAGACAACTGTCAGCAGTGCGCATTAACAGATTTATTATAATTACTTTATATGACAAGTATTTGCTGGTGGTACTTAAGGTTGAACTGAAAAGTTTTCTGGTAGCACTTAAAGTTGTATCATTTTGAATTGGTGGTGCGCAATCTGTCAGAGTTTGGGAACTGCTGCCCTAGGGTATATCCCAACTGATCGTGCATACTTGAAAGCATCTAGCTACACTACGCAACTTTTATTCACCAACTCAGGCTGTTGGTCTCCTTTCCTAGAATATAAGAACACAGAACCAAAAAGGATCTAGTATATTTAAGGGATACATATTAACATGAAGTTGGGCTATTTTAAACATCATTTCAATACAGTTAACATTTTCCACATAATATTGGGTCTTCCATGTTTTCAGTATTGATGATAAAAATATACAAAATTAATAATTTAACATCAAGCTGATCAGGATGTATGGACCCTGGGAATATACCCGGGTTCATATACAGTTATATTTATAACTAGGAAATATCAGTTGGTCCGACTGAATGTGGCCTTAAAAAGAAAAAAAAGATGATGCAAAGTGTATCTTCATTTATTTGTTTTTATTATCTCCTCGGGCAATTTTTTTAAGATCCAATTTCTCAGTTCTTCCAGCTCATCTTTCTTTAATTCATGATAAAGATTTGGAAAACTGAGAAATGAGGCTGTTACTCCCAATGATTTTAATGTTTTGTTGGTCTCTTCACCCCATGAGTAGAGCACTAACTCATCAATAGTTCCATGGCACTGAAATAACTCAGGAAGAATACTTTCATTTTTGTGTAAAGCCTGGAGGAGGAAGCAAAAGATACAGATTTTTAGAACAAGCAAACGAAATGCCAGTGTACTAAAATACTAAATAGCAAAGTTTACATACAAGGCCTGGTCCTGCTTCAAGTAACATCAAGAGAAAAAGTCATGCTGACTCAAGTGACAGCAGGATAGAGTCTATGACTTATAATTTACCAGGTATTTTTAAAAAAGGTCTGTCATAAGGTTTGTCCTCCAGGTCTTTAGTCATTCTTGGACCCTTTCAAGATTCTCCACAGCTTTTTTGAAGTGCAGCACTCAGACCAGATACAATACTTCTAGCTAGGGTCTCACCAGCACCAAGTAGAGAGGAAGTATCACTTTCTCACCTGTGCTTGTGCCACATTGGCTAATGAATTCTAGTATGCTATTAGCTCTGTTGACTACACCATTGCACTAAAGGTGTGAAAGCACCCTGGGATGTCTCAGAAGTGCACCCAGGCCATGTCTAAGGTTAGGGCATTTCACACCTTTATTCCCTGACATTTTGCTTATTAATGCTCTCAAATCAGGGCATATCCTGTGAATTAGGGACCAAGTGGTGCCAATTCCACTCAGTCAGGAATATTCTGTGCTTTGTTATGCCATAATGACTGGATCTTTTTTTTTTTTTTTTAAGATTAAATTTGTATTCAGTCTAAAAAGTATTTGGGGGTGGGGGAGGGGAAGAGCCAGAGGAAAGCATGCCACACACACTCACCTGGTAAACAAGAGATGTCTTATTGAGAAAACTGGAAAGAGCAAAGACTCCAGCCACATCTTGATGGTACCTATAGGCTAGATGCATCGCCATGCAACCCCCCATTGAAAAACCACCTAAAATACGAGCAAAAAAAGGGTTGCATTTAGCTGCATTTTGTTAATCTAGTATGTGGTTTGATTTTTGGTTTTAGCTTTTTAAAAGATATTTGCATTATCATGGTGTGTGTAACAAGAAAAAAATGCAAACACATACATGCACACACCAATTACATGTCTAAAGCAAAGTGACGTTCTATTCAAGAATCTGGACAGTTTGAAAACTGCTTACAATTCATTTTTGGGAGAAGATGGTAAATACACCACAACTCTACTATTTTATTCAACAGTTTGACAGCTGTTCAGACACTATAACTGCACACCCTCCAAATAATGTCAAGAATTCCACGATGGGGGCAAGTCAGCAGTAGTCTTCTTTGGTGATTTCTTTTCTACTTTAAAACAATCAAGCACTTAACATATGCAGCCAAGCAACACTTCCTGATCACTACATCATGCACCCGATCTCCTGACTTTGCACAGGTATAAGAGAGGTATAAGAGGCAAGTTGCTTCACTAATGTACCACATCCCTGTTGTAAAGGCATCCATACCTCTGAAGAGTGAGAGAACTAAATGTTTTCTGTGCCCACTTAATTCTAAGTCTATCTTTTGAGAAGGATAAATAGGGCTTATGTTTTTATTTTTTTTAATTATGAATATGCTGCCATACCCAATGAAATCTCAGGGCTGTTTACAGTAAGAGAACAGAATAACTTAAAACAAGCCTTCTGCGCCCCAGTCCAGAAACACCCTTTGCCATCCACCCAAGCACTTGTCCCCCTAAATCCCCTACCATCTCCCTCCCCACAGTAGCATGTCCTAAGGGGGAAGGGATGAGAGAATCTTTCTGTCACTTGGTGCAGTGTATGCCTGAAGCCCTTTTCACACTGTGGACAGTGCTATGACCCCTTCCTTGTGTTGCTGCACTTGTGCTAGGCCAGGAGAGAGGAGTGGCCAAAACTCTTCCCACATTTCAGGCAGCTTCTCCCTGCACTTGCTTGCTGGAAAGGAATGAGCCTTTGGAGCCTTCCTCTGCTAATGAGTCCTGGGTGTCCTCCATATCAGAGGAATCCCTGTCACCCTCGCTACTAAGGAGTTTTAAGCAAAGGGTGAGGGGAACTGTCACAACTCTTCTAGATAAATATCACAAGGCTGGTCTGTGGGTTCAATCCTATGGACAGGTTTGATCTGTGGGCCTGATCTATAGATTTCATAGACACTAGGGCTGGAAGGGACCTCAGAAGATCATTGAGTCCAGCCCCCTGCCTGAGGGGCAGTAAGTCAGCTGGGGTCATAGGATCCCAGCAAGATAAGCATCCAATTTACTCTTAAAGGTGTTCAATGTAGGTGCTTGAACAACCTCTGACGACAGGCTATTCCAGACCTTGGGGGCTTGGACAGTAAAGAAATTCTTCCTTATGTCCAGCCTGAAATGGTCTTGCAGGAGTTTATAACCGTTTGACCTCATCATCCCTTGGGGTGCTCAGGTGAACAAACATTCCTCCAGATACTGGTGGTCACCCTGATAAACTTATAGGTGGCCATCAGATCACCCCTGAGCCTGCGCTTTTCCAAGCAAAACCACCCCATGGCTCTCAGCCTGTCATCATAAGGTCTGATCATGCGTGTGGCTCTTCTCTGGACTCTCTCAAACTTCTCCACATCCTTTTTGAATTGTGGGGCCCAAAACTGGATGCAGTACTCCAGCTGTGGCCTTACCAAGGCCAAGTACAAGTGGAGAATGACATCCCGGGATTTGCTTGAGAAGCATCTATGGATGCAAGCCAGCATTTTGGTCACTTTACTAGCCACAGCATCGCACTGCAGGCTCATGTTCTTCTTGT